GGAAGGATGGAGGGATGAAAGGAAGGATGGAGGGATAGAGGGATAGAAGGACGGAAGGATGGAGGAATGGAAGAATGGAAGGAAGGATGGAGGGATGGAGAGATGGAAGGATGGAAGGATTGAAGGATGGAGGGGTGGAAGGATGGAAGAATGGAAGGATGGAATAATGGAGGATGGAATAATGGAGAGGTGGAAGGATGGAAGAATGGAAGGATGGAACAATGGAGAGGTGGAAGGATGGAAGGATGGAAGGATGGAGGACGGAGGGATGGAAGGATGGAGGATGGAGAGATGGAAGGATGGAGCGGTGGAAAGAAGGATGGAAGGATGAAGGGGTGAAAGGGTGGAGGGGTGGAAGTAAGGAAGGATGGAGGGATGGAAGGATGGAGCGATGGAAGGATGGAAGTGTGCAGGGGTGGGTTTTGGCTTTGCATGTCCCACCCTCCTCCCCTGGCAGAGGCCCCACGAACCAAGGGTTGGGTCGACTGTGTTGGGAAAAGCAGCCGTGGCACTTGGGAATTGCCTCTTTCCAGGATCCTCCTCCCATCGTGTCCCTTCCATCCCTTTTCCTGGCATTCCCTGCCTGCTTTGGAGAGGCAGGACCACGCTGAAGTGGTCCCAGCCCGAGGGCTGCCAGGATTTAGGGAGCCTGGTGGACACTGGGAATAATTCTGCTTCTCCTCTTTCCCAGGAGAACCCCTGGGAGACGCCAAAAAAAAACCTGGATCGACCCCTCCCACCCCCCCGGCACAGGACTTTGCTCCCTTCCCTGGAGCACTCAGGATCTCTCCCGCCCTTTTCCAGGTCCTCAACGAGACCCTGTGCCCGACCTGGGACCAGCTGCTGGTGTTCGACAACGTGGAGCTGTTCGGGGAGGCCCACGAGATGAGGGACGACCCCCCCATCATCGTCATCGAGATCTACGACCAGGACACCGTGGTGAGGACACCCCGGGGGGCTGGGGGGGCACCCCTGGGTCACAGGGGGTGAGGACCCCTTCTCCCCGACATTCCAAATTATTCCTCATCCTATCCCACATCCCAATTTATTCCCCTTCCCAACCCACATCCCAATTATTCCTCCTCCTCTCCCACATCCCAATTAATCCTCCTCCTCTCCCACATCCCAACTATTTGCTGTCCTCTCCCACATCCCAGTCCACATCCTAGCCCCCTTCCCAACCCA